TCTGGTGATGTGTGGTGTCCAGGCTGTGCATCACAGGGTGCCAGGGGTCCAGGGTGCCAAGGGGGTGATGCCTTTTCATTCATAGGGCTTGGCTTTCCTGCAAGGATCCAGCTGCCAAGGGTCACTGCTCACCCTGGAGCTGCTGGGATGGGGATGCTCACCCTGGATGCTGCATTAGGCTAAGCTAAGGTGCTGAGAATCCTGGGGCTCTTCCCAAAGGTCTAATAATTGGGAATCAGGCCCCTTGGTTAGCATGGTGGTTGGCAAAGGTCAGTGATGTTGTCACTCTGTTTTATCTGGGCCTCACCTTGACCCTGGGCAGTGCTCTGAGCTCCAGATTAATCAGCAAACAGAGGTCAGGGTTCCTGTGCATGTGGGGAGAACATGTTGTGATGGGGAGGTGAAAGCAGAGCGTGGCCCCAGTAGGGGACTGTGCTGGTAGGACACATGTCAGGTGTCCCCTGTGCTCATCTGGTGTCATGGGGTGGAGCCTCAAGCCATACCCTGTGTGGAGTTGAGATGGGGTGAGGAGCAGAGGGTCTGTCACCACAGCAAGGCAAGAAGAGCCTCCCTCCCCAGTACAGGTGGCACAGCTCTGGTGACTGGTGAAACTGGGGGACAAAGGGGTGGCAAAGTACAGGTGTCACTGTGCAGGGATGTGGTTACACATAAGAGGGTTTGGGGGAGTGGAGGTGGCTCTGGCCACTCTGACTGTGCCACAGTTCCCAGCAGTGTGGAACAGGGAGCCAAGTGTTCCCTCTGTACTTCTTGCCCAGCCAGTGCCAGAACCTCATCCTCTGAGCCATGCAGGGTGGGAAGAATCAGAGCTGTCAGCAGGGACTCTGTGGGTCTCAGCATGCACAGAGGGGTTGAGTCCTTGCAGCTGACCCACAGGAGAAGTCATGGGGCTGGCAGTTGATGTTCCCACCCAGATAAAGAGGGTGATTTGCTGCTGGAGCAGCATGGGTTCCAGGTTCCCTGTTCCAGCAGGGTTCCATGGGCACCACGACCAGCCTGTCCTGGGTGTTGTAGGGAGGAATATGCTGCCCCAGGAGGCCTTGCATAGCATTGGGAGAAGGGACAAAACAGCAGCCAAGTTGGCAAATCAGATTTATTGACTGTGAG